ATCTAGAACGCTGACAGCGTAAAGAAAGATTTTGTTTGTCTTTGAAAATGGCGAACAACTTTTTTTGAATTGGCTACCACTTTCAAGAATTTAGGAGCCAAGTGGCTATCAGAAAAAAAAGTTAATTTCTCACCCATTGATTAAGGATTTAAAATGAAAAGAGAGTTTATTAAGTTCACAAATCCTTATGGGAAGGTTTGCTAGGTGGAAAAATATTTTTAGAAAATTTTGATACATGTCCAACAAACACAAAAGCAGTAATCTGTCCTAAAATGTTAAAAAAAAAGCTTGTGGTTTGCAAAAACTAAGAGCTGAAATGACTAACCTTTATGGACCTCTCCACCTCCACAAGGCACATTCGACAATTCCCAGCCACAGAGAGTCTATCATGGTAGCAGAATCTTGGAATTTCTACCCCAGCCATTGCACAGGCCTACATACAGATGTAGATGAAATATATGCGGATACTGCAGCTAATCAAAACTATTACAAAATTCTCAATTATTATTGGTTACCATCAGCCCAAATTGAGCACTAATTGGACAGTATATACGTCATGCTAGTAATTAGACAGTGTAAAAGGACAGTTATCGGGACAGTTAAAATGTCATGCCTGTGTAAGTGGACAGAACGTGTCATGTGCATGCACTGATGCCTTGCATTTTGCTGAGCTAACTGTTGTTAATGAAAACATATGACCAATGTTTTGTTTCTTTCTCAAATTTTGTCATAGTTTTGAGTAATTGGTGACAGGACTTCATATCATCCAATTCTGTCTGTAATTATACTTGTAATTAACAAATCGGACTCCTACCGTAATTTCCGGTCGTTTGCCCGCGGGTAATCTGTTGATTTTGCATTAAACGCGCGCCACTGCGGGTAATAGGGAGGTGCTGGTTATGTGACAATTTTAAAATCCAGTGGTAGTTGAATTGAAAAAAAATATCACCAACATGCGTTTCCACCTCTCAAGTAAATTTTATTGTGTTAATAGTGCCGCAAAGCGGCATGAAAACATGATGCCGACTCGAGTTTATTTCACGCATAATTAGTTGCGCGACGAATAAATTATTATCGGCACGCGTGAAAACAAAACCTTGATGGTGACAAAAATTATCCAAAGATATCCGGCGCATCAGTAACAAATTTCCATTTAACACTAGCTTGAGCTAAAGAGAATTTTCCCGTTTTAAGGGACTTGTTAGGCCCAATAGAACCGGAGATATCGATTTTTTTCAGAAATCGCCGACAGTACTTTATAATTCAAGTTTTTAATACTCACCCACCTTTTTTTCAATAAATCAACATGGTGCTGAACGATCGCTCGCACAGAATGTGGCCACAAATTCGCATTCTGTCAAGTATGAAACGTTGAGATTTGGGCATGGGCCGCTAGTGTTTTTACTGTATAATCTTATCAATAAAGTACATGCTAATATTGACACAGAATTGTGCACGCGTCTGAATTTCTTTGACCTTTAAACTCGACAAAGACGCTTTCAAGTTTTCGAAAGTTGGATCAGACAATTTTTAAAAGACTGAAATGTATCACCTTAATGTCATGTTTTTGCCACCAAAAAGTTGAATAACAACGTGCGGGTTATCCACCAGTGCGGGTAATCTGTTGACTTTTTTTTTCGCCGTATGCAATAATCGGCCGGTGCGGGTAATCGGCCGTGCGGGTAAACGACCGGAAATTACGGTACTTTGCTGTTGTCCAATTTTGCTAATCACTTGAAGGATTACAGACCGAATTGGACTCCACTCCTTCCTATTACCATTATCAAAATTTTGTCACCAGCTGAGATATACAATCTGTAAACATACACCCCAACCCTATTTAAACTGCTAAGCAACTGTACAAATTATTGAGATTGGAACTGAAATTGTTATTCCACATGGATAACTATGGTTATCTCACCTGCAAGACAGTAACTCCAGGATCCACTAACAAACTTTTGTCATTAACAAACACCTCGATTTTTTCAGGAGCTGGAGCTGTGGCATAATGCTGAGCTGAAACATCAAAAGTGCAAACCAAAAATTATTTTATGAACCTGTTATGTCAATTAATTTGAAATATGAAACAATCTGAAAAGGGGAGGAATTTTTGCTGGAAATCACAGTGAACATAATTGCTTGTGATAAAGATGTGGATTCATTATTGAACAGACATAATTCACAATACATAATGTAAATCACTACAATCTTTTCCAAAATATCAACTTTAACGTAAATCAAATAATACTCTAAAAACAGAATATTCAACTTAAGGGGATCTAGTATCTTGTAAATGGTCTCAAAAGATTATAGCAAAGATTTCTACTGTGAGTACAACAATAACCTCTCCCCCCAATCCTAGAAAATAACAACTTCTGTTAAGTCAAGAATGTTGAAAAAAAACCCTCCCAGAAAAGCGAAAAATTTAATCCAATTTAATTACTGCAGCAATGTGGCACAAACCACTACACTATTTCAGTGTTTCACTATTTTTTCAAACAAGTAAGGAAACGTTACCCAGCATGCTATGTACTGTACGAAAGCTGCAATACATGACAGGCTGGATGTTGAAGTCTATTATACCAAAGATCTTAACCATTGGTTTAAAACTTCTTAAACAAACAAACAAACAAAAAAAAGAACCGGTTTACTTGCGGCGTAGTATTTACGAGGAATGCACAACGATATTATGTAACATCATGGAGTGACTTCAATACAGATTTCCAAAAATAACTCACCCGCAACTTGCAAAGAAGGTGTCAACCCTTGCAGCGGCTTAATTCTGGCCGCCTTTGACAAAGTAAGCCTCCACATTCTGCAGAATCTACAGAATATAAACCGAAACTGATGCATAACCAATCAAATATAGCTGTTAATTTTCTGCGGATGAACATACTCAATCTGTACGCGAAAATAAGGCTATCTAGCCCATAACCATATCAAAACTTGCGACAAGATTAACTCGTCATCCTTGATATAATAAAACTTAGAAGCAAAAATATGTTTTACCCAGGAGATCGATTTGCAATATGTGTTATAACCCACTGGAAATCAACAACAACACACACAGGATTTTCAAAGATGGCGACCTTTGCGATTCATACGGGTATTGAGATCAGACAAGTACCTACGGCTCTAGTTGTCAGCGGCACCCGCATAAAATTGGTTATCATGTCGTGTCAAATAAGATCTCGTGTGCTAAAGCCTCCGCCATCTTGAAAGTTGAAGATGCCTATCTGGTGAGTTAAATATCTGAAGTTTTATGATGATTATTGAATCTTGTCGCCGTTAAAGTAAGGATTAATCTACCTTTCAAAGTTTTTTTATGACGTTGATTTCTTCTTTTGTAAATACAGCCGTAAATATATTTTTTTCAGACTTGTGATTCCTGCATCTCCGAACGTCAGTTTTGTTTTCATAAAATATGGCATGGAATGAGCTTCTTACCGTAGCAAAACTGAGTACATCGGTCTTTCGCCATACCACAACGAACTCAATGCGTAATTTTTCACCCCTCTCGAGTTTGCTTCTCCGTGCCTTTTCAACAAGCATGGTAGCGGAAGGCAAGACTCAGTATTATTTCATCAGGGTACCTCGAAGTATGCCAAACATTCCTGTGCCAGCTTATCTCAAGGACGGGAGTGTGAAACGTAACCATAAGAAGTCAGGACGAGACCCTGAAACTGGGCGTATCGCCATACGGCATAAGGGAGGAGGGCATCCACAGACATTTCGTATCGTGGACTTTGTAAGAGCTCCTGTGCCACAAGAAAATGAAGAACCCAAGCCGATTCGAGACAAAGTCCTTCATATAGGCTACGATCCTTGTCGCTCTGGTCGTATTGCACTCGTGGCAGGGGATGGAAGCAATAGAATGAAAATCATCACTGCACCACATGAGATGAAAGTTGGAGATGTTATCACAGCTTTCCGAGGGAAGCCGCAATCTATTGCCAGACTGAAACCCGGGGATGCCTACCCACTTGCTCATCTTCCTATTGGCACAGTAGTGTACAATGTCGAGCTTCAGCCCGGAAAAGGTGCTCAGCTCGTGCGCGCTGCTGGTACATGTGCCCAGATTCTCAATAAAACTGAGACTACAGCAAGGTTGCGACTACCTTCAAAACAGGAGAAGGACATTCCTCTTGATTGCTTGGCCACTTTAGGGAGAGTTTCCAATATTGACCATGAAAATCGAGTCATTGGTAAAGCAGGTAGAAATCGATGGCTCAATAGGAAACCAAAAGGCCAGACTGGTATAAATCGTACTCTTTGGAGGAAGAAAAGGGTATAACTGGTTTGAGTTAATTCTTATCTTTTTTATCCAAGAAAATCAAATAAACAAGAACAATGGAAATAACACTCTTAAGCTCTTATTTGTGTGATGTTACTTACTTTCTCTGTCATCAAGAGAGTTTGATTATAATTTATTACTTTGTTTTGTGGTTTTGTTAAGAAGGATAATTACTTTTGATTTTTTCTGTCTCAGCTCCATTTTTTCAACAATTAAAGTACTTAGATTAAATGCCACAAAATTTTAGTTGTGACCTATGCCTTTATAAAAGAAACAGAAAGCAGGTTTGGCATAATCCAGGATAGGAGCTAATCGCCTCTTGAACAATCACATCCTGTTTAGGCAACTAAAGTGTTCAGTTACTTCTGACCAGGATTTCCTTGTGTGCAGGGTAAACATTTCTTTGTCTCTGGCAGAAAAAAAGATTCAACATAATTGTGTAGAGGTTACTTTGGGATAGAATTTAAGAACATTTGAATACCCATCCACACCCCTCCACCAACACATCTGTTCTGTCTATTTGGTAGCCATGAATTGAGGCTCCCCCTTTTTCTTGGGGGGAGAGGGTGAAGGTGGGGTTATTGTGCTGTGAAGTCTCAAAAGTTTGCCAAAGATGTTGTAACTTGTCCATCTAAGACAAAATGTTTTCCTCCGAGAGTCTCACTCCCCCTTGATGATGAATGGTTTCTTACAAACCTCGTTCCAGGATCTGTCTTCATCCCTCAGACCAAACATTACTTTCCCCAGTCCATTCGTTTCCTCGGCCAAGATGGCGGTTTGTCTTCTCCGATGAGACTGAAATCTATTCGTCACTTTGTCCCTCTGTTCCGGACTTCTTTACTTTGGTCATTCCGAACGTCGACCAACACCATGGCAACTTTAGAGACCTTAAACTTTGACAACCTAGCTCTTCATTCCCTGCCGATCGACAAGGAAACACAAAATGTTATAAGACAGGTCAAAGATGCATGCTTCACTCTTGTGAAACCGACAAAAGTAAACAATCCAACCCTCGTAGCTTACTCACAGGAGGCTTTGTCCCTCCTTGATCTACCGCCATCTGAGGTGACAAGGCCAGACTTTGTGCAGTATATGAGTGGAGACAAAATCCTTCCCGGAAGTCAGACTGCAGCTCACTGTTATTGCGGACATCAGCAGGGGTATTTCTCCGGTCAGCTTGGAGATGGAGCTGCGATGTAAGTGGCAGGGACATGATTTTCTCTCGTCATATGGTAGACCAATCTCTCGTTTTTTGGATGCTCGTTTTTCGTCGGTGAAGTCAACTTTTTACCGGGTAACCACATAACCCATTAACCGACTTGAGAGTGACTGGCTTCTAATTTCACCTTACCCGGGTAGCATCCCCATGAATCAGATGCAAAGATAATGAGGATTTGGAGATAATCACCAATTTAAGAAGCTCCTGACTGTCAAACAAATTCTCCTTTTTCCATTACCGCAGGAAATTTACAGAGATTAGTGTGGATAACATGAATACTAATGTTGAGGTGTACAGAATTAAAAAAAATATGTGACAAGTGGACCTTGAGAGGGAGTCCTTTGCATTCTAAGACCTCTCCTTCTTCTTCCTAGCTTTTGCAATCCTCTCTTCTCTCTCTTTCTATCCCCAGCATGTGAATGGCTAACATGATCGAAAAACATTCAAAACAGAAAACATTCCCCATGATTTGTTTGTATTAAACCAAACTCAATTGATATTCACATGTACACCATTGATGGTTGAAGATGGGTCTTTTAGTTACAATTGACACATGTATAACATTAATGATTGAAGATGGGTCTTTAAGTTACAACTTATTTTTTTTTTCCTATCCTCTTTGGAACAGGTATCTGGGTGAAATAACTAATTCTAATGGGGAAAGATGGGAAATTCAGCTGAAGGGATCAGGTCTTACACCCTTCTCTAATCACAGAGATGGCCGCAAAGTCTTGAGATCATCCATTCGAGAATTCCTGTGCAGTGAGGTACAATGATTTTAATCCTATCAGATACCCTTTTAATTAAGCTAGCAATGGCAGAAATTTTGTTCAAATGGGTTTTAGATAAAAACATTAAGTTTTCTGGCTAATTTCCTTTGCCATGCACCAGTATGCAGAGAATCTTTACAAAGAGGGTTAAAGACTCTTGACTTGAAGAGGGTTAAAGACTCTTTCCAATAACAAGGCTCACAATTTAACTACGGGCTAATGTACGAAATGTAGATTATCTTAATAAATTTCCATCATCATTACCCCTTACTGTTATAGTTACCATTACTGTTACCACAGTGACTGTCAATATGGTTACCACTGACTTTGTCAGTTTTGCTGTCATTGTCATCATCATTATCATTCATCTTTTACTATTTCTAAAGTTATTGATATTATGTTGTTGTGAAATTAATTAAATTAAATTATCATTATTGTAAATTATTTCAGGCTATGTATCACCTAGGAATACCAACCACAAGAGGTAAGAGTTTGTACACTGTTGCTTTCTGGACTGCAATTGCAATTCAATCGAGGTGAGGCTATTGAACCAAAGACGTGAGAAAATGAAATAACATTGAAAGGACATGATTACCAACCAAATAAGGTCTTGATTGTGAAACAAATTCTCCCTGTCAGCACCCTAGGAAATGTATAGAACAGTATGGAGAATATGCATACCGATGTTTGGGTTTTAAGGGTTGATACCTTAAAAAATGATCCTTACATTATTAGAGTGTGTTGGTTGCATCCCCTAACCTTGGATAAAACTGGCCAATTTTTGTTTTTAAATATATGTGATCAGATAATAATTTGCCAAACCTCTCAGATTCAATTTTCTTAGATGAAAAGAAAAATCTTGTTGTGTAAGAGATAAGTGAATGAGGTAGCTTTTGTGGTTATTATTGTAAAATCAAATGTTTTATTCAAGTTGCATTGTTCATTTGTCTGTTTGTTTGTTTTTTTTTTCAGCTGGCTGTTGTATAACCTCAGATACATTAGTAGAAAGAGATAAAGATTACACTGGGAATATTTTAAAAGAAAAGGCTTCTCTAGTATTGAGGATTGCTCCAACCTTTCTGAGGTACAAAAGCCTTAACTGCCATATTGATTAAACACAATTGTCCATTGACGTCTGCCCTTGGAGGAATGTGTATTTCACAAGTCATCTTAAGTGCTAACTATGTTGTGAGTCATTGTAGCGACATGCTGCACATCCATAAGAGTTTGATGGTATAATATGCATGGATATTTTGTAAGTTGGGTTAAGTATGAGAATGGCCATTCATATTATATGTTAAAACATTAAATGAGGGATTTATCGTAATGATTCCACCATCAGCTCATTTTATAGCATTTTGGTGTTGAGTTTTCAAAATAATTCCTGTAGCTTTGAATGAGCATCAGATCAGTCACATAAGGCGTGGGAAGGGCCCTCACTTAGTGTAGAAGACACTGAGTTTGATATATGACAATAGAGTCCACAAAAAGACAAAAGAATGAAAGCGATGAAAATAATATTCTATTAAGGAGGTGTTCTATTGTGATGTGTCCTGTGTCCTCTACATGGAAAAGAAGCTAGGAAAAGAAAAAAAAAACAAGCAAAACCATTGAATGTGCAAAAAAGTTTGTTACTTAAAAAGACGGGCCTAAAAAATGCAGGGAAAAAACCAAAGTTTGGATTGTTCAGTGATGCCATTTACTTTCTACCTTTCAGTTGGTATTTTTGCCCTGTTCTGCCAAGTTATATGGTGGTATATTTTTTTTGTTCCAATGCCCCAATTTAGTAAAATAGTAACAGTGGAATGATAAAGTGTAATAATACAGTGCAGAAAATTGTAAAGGGAAGGTAGTTAGTGATATTGAACCACAATACAATGCAATTCAACTAGTCATTGTGTACATATCATATGTGCTTACTATGCTTGTTTTAATGGCAGATATGAGTCCCCTTATCTTTGAGCTGTATTATATAATTATATAAATATATTTCAAACAATTTTGTATATCACATATTACCAGTACTAACATTGAATTCATAGATTTGTAACAAATCACAACAAGTTTATTTAATAATAATTATCATTATATTTAAGTGAAATTGAATTCTCATCCAAACTCTCTTAGGTTTGGCTCTTTTGAAATTTTCAAACCACCTGATCCAGTGACTGGTTATCAAGGTCCTAGTGCTGGTAGAGTGGACATTCTGCATCAGTTGCTAAGCTACACCATCAAAACCTTCTTCCCCCAAGTATGTCAGTTAAGTTCGAATTTTATGTTGAATTAATTCTACAAACTGCTCTTTGAGTACTGGTACTTCTAAATCACAACCACACTTGGTACTCAAAGCAACTCTACCCCTCGCTGACTGACCTCTGCAATTAACCCTATAACTCCCATAAGTTACAAACATCAGTCAAATTTATCCTCGCAATATCAATACAATATCAAGCAGACAAGTGATGAAAATAGAGAAAAATATCCATTCAGGGAATCATTAGTTGATCCAAAACCCAATTCTCTACACTAATATCAAAGGAATTGTATGGCAGATAGTAAGGAGAATTATTAATGACATCTTGGGAGGGAAAGGGTAAATATCATTATGGCATGCAGTAAATTAATGTTTTTGGATATGGAGTGACAGTTCATCCTTCACTGAATTTGTTGATTCCTTTTGACAAGGGTGTTGAAACACAAGGAATTAAAACCAAAAACACCTGAATTATCAGACTACAAATTCACATATACATTTTCTGAGTTGCAAAGTAAATAAAGAGTTTATTTTTTCTTATGTTATTGTAATTAATTTCTTTTAAATCTATTTTATTTTTCTTTTATAAATTTAGCAGCTATACTTTGTTGTTGTTGTTTTTTTAAATCAGATCTCTGCAGGAGACTTTCAGAGTCCTGAAGAATGGTATCTTGCCTTTTTCCAAGAGTTGACTTTGTTAACTGCTCGCCTTGTTGCCAGTTGGCAGTGTGTTGGATTTTGTCATGGGTGAGACAGGCAGTTGATAAGAGAATAGCCTTTCTTGTTAGTATCTTTTTTCTTCCTTCAAACTACAGAAGGGGAGAGATAGAGAAGGGCTTTTGTCAGCAAAGGGGGAGAGTAGATGTAAGGCTACATTCTGTGTGGGCTGCAAAAGCTACTGCTTTTATTCAAATAATTTTTTGCAGAGTGTTAAATACAGACAACATGAGCATTGTTGGTGTCACCATTGATTACGGGCCTTTTGGATTTCTGGATTATTATGATCCAAATTATATGAGTCAAGCATCTGGTAAGTGGTAAAGACCATTTTGTGTCACACAGTGTAAGATGATTGGCATGATACAGTTGTATGCCCTTCATTAGAGGGTACTTGTGCATAATTAGCTAATAAACTGTGAGAGGGAGGAGAACTCCTGATGTCAAAAATTGATGGGTCATTAACAAGAGGAGAGTATCTTTATTTTCTATTAATACAAGGATGAAGCACTTGCTTCAAAACTATGTTGCAGGAGGTTGAGTCTCAAACCTTGCATCGCATATTGGTTGACATTTGACTTTTTTGATAAATGTTGCCATTTCTCAAAGGGTTTTCTCTTTGGTATTTGGGATTCTGCCCCTCTGCTAAAACCTGTCTCCATTTACTTTTTGTTTGTGGTTTACAAATTTTTCATCAACATAAACAAACATTCTGAAGTCCAATTCATCCTGGGAAAAAGGGACAC